GAATATGAGCAGGGTCAACTGTTAGATCTCAACCATCAGCCACAGTCCAATTGCAATCCTCTCACGCGGTCTGACAACGGCTCACGTACTCCTGTCCACATAGCCTTCTGGTTGAACGGGACCTTGGTCTCGGGGGCAGCCACCTCCGGGAGGAGGGGCATGAAGGGCTTGATCAGATCGAGGAAGCGTACTACATCGGTCAGCAGGCAGTTCCCAGGCGCATACACAGCTGCTGCTGTCGCAATGGAGGTCTGGCGGTGGAGATGGACTTACGGCCGCTCATGGTGGCGGTTGTCTTTATTTCCCCCGGACTGAACAAAAGAGGAAGAAGAGAGAACTAATGAGGTTTATACACAAAACCCAGACAAGCGATCGGGGGAGAAAGGAGGGGGGGAAGAAGGGGGAGGGAAGGGAGAGACGACAAGGTGGTTGAAGCAGCAAAAGGTCGAAGTTCTCGTCTTCTTGGATGTTTTGTGGACAAAAAGAACTTACTAGCGCTTTGAGGACACTCTGGTCGCATCACGGAGTTGCTGACTAAGAAAGACTACACGCGACCTCTTTGGGCTTTCTTATTTTTTTATCTTCTTCCACTATATCCATCAACTTACAACCATCGACTGTGCTGTCTCAAGCAGCTGCGTACCGTTTTGGTGGCCTAGAGATTGATAGATCTCGGTCTGCGAGCATCTAGTGACTATATCAACTACAGAATACAAGACTCGGTGTGTACCTCTAATACAGGATGAGGACGGCTGAGTTAAGAAACTCTTACTGGGCTATACTCCTACGCAATATAGACCCTGATAATGCATGTATGATGCATTGGTATGAGGCGGTTGAAGTTACAAGGGCATTATGCATGCCTTACAAGCTTTAATAGCCTCATGACCATATATTTTGGCTTTTTCTTTATACCCAAAGAGACCAGAGAGCATCAACATGCAATCTGAGATTGTTTGAGCTGCCCATAGCTTACTGACGCTGTTTGATATCCCTTTCTATACCTTGCAACAAAGGTATTTATTTCACCAGAAACATCTGAAAGTGAATCAGAACAGAATACTGCTCGAGATGGGCATTCATCTTCATGGAGAGCTCCAGGCTGGCACCATCTCCAGAATGAATATTTAAGGGCATGATTCAGGCTGCCACATCCATCACTTCCTTCTCTATTACTCTAGCGTATACCCAGTGACCTACTTCTTCCCAAGCAAACTCAGACACCTTCCTACAAACTTCATCATTATATCCGCAGTCCTAGTGTCAGCAGTTTGATCCACACTCCTAAAACATATCAACTGTTTTTACTCTTCACTTTCATAAACCAAGATACCTATATTTAAGACATTTCAGAGGAATTCACGAGAGTCTTTTTGTTTTCCAATGGGGTCACTCAGTCCAGTAACTCCCAACATGGCTACTAAAGGCCGCCATCGTGACAAGGTATGCCTTTAGCCCATCCGCTATATAAACGGCCACAGTCAGAGTTTTAACTGTAATAGTGGCACCACTGGGCATCCTCTCCGCGCCACGCTCCCACTTCTACTGTTCGGTCCCTTGTGAGCCGTATGAAGTCGAAGCTTTCTCCGCTGGACTCGACCAAGATGGGCGCAGCCGACTCTATATGCGAGGTAAGTTTGTTTCTATAGCGTGGATGCCACCATTCTGACGGAGAATGGCAGGATCAGGAACCGTCACCCAGGGATATGTTCTCTTGTAGTAAGGAAAAGGTTGAGGCTTCCGAAGAAAGCCCTTGCGTCGAGCGAGTCCCTTCTACCCCTGCCATTTCCACTGCTAGCTCGAGTGTGGATATCGGTAATAGCACCATGGTTTCTCCTTTCTCACCTCCAGACAGAGCCCGTTCAACTACTCCTAGCGAAGAAAGATCTACTAAACAGGAAGTTGAAGGGTCATCTGGCAGCCCCTCCCCGTCTGCCGACCTAGGCGGAGATGATGTCTTTGGACCGTCTGAACCGGAATCACAGGTAGAGCCAGAAGATGACCAGGAACCTGAAGAAACCGGAGAGATGGAAACTGCCACAGAGGTAGAAGTTGATTCGAACGAAGAAGCTTCTGTGCAGGAAGAGCTGGAGGAAGACTTGGAGGCGGACATGGAGGAGGACCTGGATTATGCAACTGATACAGGTGCCAGCTCGGAATTCAAGGAAATCCCCAGAGCGGACTCTGTTGATGACGAAGGATACGGCGATAAAGGAGCCGACGAAGAAGGCAAAGAAGAAGTCGGTGGCAACAAAGAACAAGAGGAAGAGGAGGAGATGATACCATCCCGGGAAGTAGATTTCCTTCTGGAGAATGCAGAGGTAACTAGGCGTAATGACCTTGCTGCACTCCAAGATGAATTCGACGATGAGATCAGATACCTTGCCGATGAGCGAAACCAGCTGCTCACCGAAAAGATGTTCTGGCAAACCAAATTCGTGACTGCAATCAAAGGAAGAGAGAAACAACGCTCGCGCGCCTCTTCCCTGACGGAGGATAACTCCCGCATGGATGCGATCAATAAGATGCTTCAGCGTGAGATGGGGCTCATACAGGATATCATCGACAAGCAATACAAAGACATGTCGGAAATCAAATCCAACTGCCTAGGTACGGTCACGCAGCTTACCCAGGCATGTGAGGTTACCAAGACATACATCGACAAAGCCAAGGAGGAGAACATGAAGACTGCAAAGGAGTTGGCTATCCTTCGCAAAGTCGTCATGAAAATCCGACAGCCATCTAAGAAGCTCACTGAATTCTCGATGCACCATGACTTCAAGCAGGCCTTGGAGGTCAACCAAGAGCTAAAGAGTAAGACCGAGGCCCAGCAAGAAGAGCTTGACAAGCTGCAGGCCCAGCTAGCCGAACGAGATGCGAAGATCAAGAGTCTACAGTTGGCGAATACCAAGCTGGAGGAACAGCTCGACGACCTGGAGACATACAACGCCAAATATATGAACAAGCTAGAGGAAGCCAGCCGTTCACTTACATACTACCAAAAGTCTCTATTACAGGCTCGGGATAAGGAAACTCAGCTCAATGACCGTCTCGCGACTGCGCTGGGTGAATGGGCAAGCAAGAAAAGGAAATTTAAGAACGAGTTAGTCGAGTGTCGCGCTAAGCTGCAGCTTAAGGACACGATGATTAATGCTCTTCACGGCCAGTCCTCGATATACCTGGAGAACTGGAAGGAGACGATCAACATGCTCTCGGAGAAAAGTCAGGGAGATGAGCTGTCAGTAAAGCTTGCTGACTGTCTCCAGGAGACGCTGGACCGCAACGAAGCGTTAGAGATTGAACTTGGCGAGCTTCGTGAGAAGACATTAACCGTGCTTAACCAAAGCCTGAGCTAGGATATGGTTTCGTGTTGTTAAAGCTTCTCTCTTCTCTAATGCATATACATCTCATCTGCGCTCGTTCTTGCTTCGTTCGTGTGAGATAGCAAGACCAAAGCCTCGGTTCATTTGAACATTACACTCCTAAGGAGGCTAAGTACAGAAGCCGAACCTGTTATCGAATGTGGGGATATGCATTGAAGCCAACATATTGAGAAACAGGGGGGAGAGCTATGGTAAAAGCAATAAAATACTACCACTAAAGAGTCCGAAAAACGAAGGGCAGTGGCAGAGAATGTTATGTCGACATCCTGCTATATCTTTTCGACGTTATATTCCACCAGAGAGATAATATTATTACCACTGCCTGCATTTGAAAGGTTAATAGCTAGAAACACATAATTTTGAATAGTAAACCGAAACTGTCATAAGGAGGAATATCTGAGACGAATTGGCCGTCCATCGAACAATGTCTCCAACCATCCAGCTGCTGCTGCTGCTGTATTCACTCGTGGCAATCCTCACTCGTTTGCCTAGAATATTTTTCACCACACATAGTTATGGGCTGCCTAGGAAGTAGGTATTCCGAGCGGCACCCCATCTCTCGGGGCCTTGACGCCATTGAATCCATCAACCCTGGCCTGTCCCTGAGACCCAGCAGGAACAGCACCTTCACTCTTCACCCTCCCTGCCGAAGGCTCCGTCTGCACAATACCGAACGACACTAAGGCCCACCAGCCAACCCATCCCCAGAACCACACCGACACACCCACGAATGCCGTAACAGCCAACACAGGCACAAGCACAAGCAGCGCCAGACCGGTGCACACGGCCGTGAACGTAAGCGCACAAAGCGAGGCAAGCACCAGTGCAATGGAGAATGCGAATACCAGCACGCTGACGACCTGCAGCACGAACAGGACGAGTGGGATTCCGCAGAATAGAATCTGGGAGGCTAAGAAGGAGGCAAGGATAGGACGCTCCCTAGCAAAGGATGCGAGCTGGGATTTTATTTCTGCTCGTTTTGGAGGAGGGAGGACTGCATCGAGGGATGCATGGATGGCTGCGTAGGCATTTATGATGAGAGCTTTGATGATGTTGATTATTGACCTGATGATTGAGGAGAGGTAGGATCTTGGACGCGTGGCGGTGCTCTGTGGAGGACCCATTGCGATTGTGAACTAGTTGAGCTTATGTGTTTTGCCTGGCTTGCGTTTCAGGGCTGCAAAGTGATATCATGCAGAAGATTGAGAAGTCTTTGGACGTAAGTAAGGAAGAGAGCACGGATGGTTGGATGGATCGATGCCCTCTGAGCAAGGAGTGCTTTATCAATATTTACGGCTGACGGTGGCTCTCTCTGCCACCATCCAACGTCATAACCGGATCTGCGAATAACACGAACTGGTTAGCTAGTTAGATAACAGGTACCTGTTGGCACCTTTTGCCACAAGTTAGAGACCTTCTCTTGAATTTACTGTTGGTATTTATTCACATTATCTTATTCGCAATGCGACATTTTCTTCTACAGATATATAGACTGACGTTACCGGCAACATTGCTACTGCAAGGTTATTCTGCGCGAACGATACTGTAGCCATTATCTATCACCAGCTGCTCCTCATATGTAACATATCTATATAATAAGATGATAAACATGATGTATCAGCTCGTTGGGTTGAGCTGGCTATATTCAACCCATCTCCTAACGCACTCGTCCACCCTCCTGAGCTGCTCTCTGCTCGCCTCAACCTCGAAATACTCTTGGTGTTTCCTCCCACACTCCTCACACGGTTGACCAGGTTTTACTCGGATGTCAGCCAGTTCAAGGTGCACTAATCGCTCTAGTCTATGCACATTTGGAGCCTTCTGTGGAAGATCCAAGGACGCTGCCCCAGATGAAGGGTGGTAGGGATAGTATCGGATAAGCGTTAGGTTATGGGAGCATTGCTGGGTCAGTCGACGACAGACGTTGACTGCACGACCTATCTTCAGGGTTATGGTGGTTGCAGTTCGTCTGCCGGCTGGGTCGTGTCTTGTGATGCGGGACGTAGGAGCAATGCCGGCAGAGGACATGATGTCACTTGTTCGTCTCCTTCTGGCTTCATGTCTATCGGGAGACGACGGTATTAAAGAAGCAGTTGCGTCTGCTTGAGGCTGGGAGTCTCTAGGTGTCACGCAGTATATATAGATATATCCCGCTTCATCGGCGGGTGACGGAGGCTCTGCGAGTCGCTGAAGTAGTTTTGATGTTGTGTCGGGTGATAGACTTGATGGAATCCAAGAGAGAAGGTATTCTGTCTGTGATGGGCCGCGTCTGGCAGAAAGTGAATGGCGAAGTGGTTGATTGTTGGAAGGCGAAGGCTCCTCGACAGTGGGCAGAAGCTGCTTCCTCCTAGACGGGGTGTATTCTGCCCAGCTAGATCTATTATGACGGTAGGAGTCCCGTTCATGATCTGGTCTAGCATGTCGGCGCCCACTACCGTTCGGCAGCGGTTGTGGAACCGGATCACCCAGATTTGGCGCGGGCCGGACATGCGAGCTTCTCCTGGGGACAGAATGATGCTCATCATCGCTATCAAGGGGGGCAAAGAAACAGACAAACTTCATGCGCTGCTTTGGCTTCTTCTTTGGGGCCTTTGGAACATGAAGCGTAGCTATACCAGCCACCTGCTCTGTCCTTCTATATGATCCATCTGCCGAGCGACGGCCAGACGCTCCATTTCGATCAACATTGACCTCCGAAACGCCAGCACTACCGCGTACAGAGTGCACTTCATCCACAGACAGCTTGCCCACGCGTTCGATGAGCGTATCCAGACTGGATCGTGGTCTTAGTAGTCTGGATGGTCTCGGCCTCGAAAGTGACAATGCTTCACCTTGAGTCTTATGTTGCCAGCAAAACAAGCCGCCCGGCGTCTCTATCGTGATGTGATCTCCTCTACTATCACCATCTCTTCGTCGTTGAGAGTCATCTTGCTTGCTCGACGCAGTAGGTATCACTGTTCGTCGGCATCTTCGGCCATCAGCAGTCAGCCCTTGGCAGGTCGTTGCTGGGTTTTTTGAATCCGAGCGAGCGAGCTGGAACTCTGGACAGTGACGGATATGGGACATAGCCTCCGTCACCGGGTCTATCCTCCTAGAAGGCAGATACTGATATTGTTATCTTCCTTGCCCGAGGTGAGCTTCGCTTGGGCGAAGTGTTCCGTACGCCGAAACACAGGCGCCTTGTAACTAGTTAAATTGCCGACCAAGGAATCAAAATAGCCTCATTAGATTAGTTATCAGGAGATACGATAGCAACGAGAGAGTGACAAGAGCGAGTGACTGGCATTCAAGTCTTCGTCAAGTCCTTAATGTAAGTAGTCAAGATGTAGATCAGGCGGCGGTAAACATGGCGGTGCAAGGCTAACTATAATAAGAACCACGCTAGGCTGGAAAGAGTAAGACCAACACGGCACTGCCAGACCTTTTTCCCCTTTCTTTTTTTTCCTTTCATCTGGCATCTACTCCGTATTATCAATATCTATTATTGATGTCAGCCCTTGACTTAAAGAAAAGAAGCAGGGAAAAAAGGAAAAAAAAAAAAAAAAAAAACACGACCACGGTGTGATTTGAACACACAATCTCTGGTGGACAGACTTTCGTCTCTAAAGACAAAACCGAAAACCAGCGCCTTAACCATTAGGCCACGCGGCCCTAACCCGACTTTATCGATGGCTGTTTCTTGCTTGCCTGTTTTGTCTCCACTAACACACACCGTTGATGCATCCATCGTGTTGCTGGGATGAGAAGAAGAAGCCGATGGAGCGATCAGCCGCAGCCTCTCGGACACGGAACACTCTGAGACCTGCTAGTTAGCCCTCGGCGGTAGCTTATGCAGAGGAGGCTGGAGGCTGGATAACTTCTAACTGGCCCGGAATGGCGCTTTTCTAGGCTGGAACCCAATCAATGTCGTCTAACGAGTTAACTAACTGGTTCCGGATCCCGTTAGCCTTTCTGAGGTCATTGATTGACCCTTTGGTCGCAGGCAGAGATTTTTCGCAGCCATGGACCTTTTCAGCCTCATGCTCTTCCCCATTATCATTCTTATTATTCTTATTCCGCAGGCATCCGGCAATGCTACACAGAGACCGCAGCGTACTCACCAGCTCATCAGGGTGCTAGCCAGCTCGTTACTTGACTAGTCAGTTGACACGGACGATGCGGATTCTCAGCTCGCCGCCAACGAACGGTTCTTTGTTCTCTCGGACTGCATCTCGCTGCATTCTCGCCTCCCTCGTCTGCTACATCCTCCTAGTCCAGTACTGTCGAATTCGTAGCCATCGCGACCCAACCTCTGCCTTTTTCGACGCGAGAAAGGGATACCAGCCGATATACTCTGGGTTTAGAGCATCAAAGGGCGCTAACTTTATTCGATACATCGATGCGGTGGCCAGCTCCACCACCAATGCCACCAATGCCACCACAGCTCTCAAACCGCCCGGGAACAGAAACGCAAGTCTCTGCGTGGGCATTGCCTCCATCGCTCGGAAGGATGTGAGCTACATTGAAGCAACGGTTGGATCCTTGCTCATGGATCTCGGTCCGCGGGAGCGTGAAGATCTCTACTTGATCCTATTTATACCCCACGTAGACCCGACGATCCATCCGTCCTTCGAAAGTAAATGGTTATCGGCCATGGCAGACAGAGTTCTGCTCTATAACGTTACTTCGGCAGAACTCGATCACCTCAGAGAACTAGAAAAGGAAGGGGGGTTATTTAGGGAGAAAGGCTTGTTCGATTACGTCTATCTGCTCAAGGCGTGTCAAGAAATTGGGGCTCCACATACCATAATGGTGGAAGATGATGTCCTTGCAATGGATGGCTGGTACCATCGTACAAAGCGAGCTCTGGTAGATGCTGACCAACAGACCAGCCGGCTGGGAGCGTCACAGTGTAAGCTGTCTCCCCTTTGCTTATTGAAATTCTCCATCTGATTCATTGAGAGTAGATTTATACCTTCGACTGTTCTATACCCAGGGCCTTCTAGGCTGGAATAGCGAAGAATGGTTTATATATCTCCTCTGCTCCGTGGCTGTGATAGCAGCCCTTTGGGGTACCCTTGTTACCACTCGGCGGTATGTCCCTCGCTCAAACAGCCTACTCACAAATAAAGCTGTCTTGGTCATCTGCTTTATATACGGGCCTCTCTGCATCGTGCTCTTCTTTGCCTCGGGCCGTTTGTCAATGCTACCGATTCCCTCAGGGGTCCATCAAATGCCGCGTTTTGGATGCTGTTCTCAAGCCCTTGTGTTTCCGCACAATCGTGTCCCGGATGTTGTCTTCTGGTACGAGAAGAAGAAGATTGGGTTTGCGGATTCCCTTTTGGAGGAATATGCCAACATAAATAACGAAATTAGGTGGGCTTTAACCCCCAGTGTCTTCCAGCATATTGGTGCCAAAAGCTCGAAAGATGGTTCTGGTGATGATGTTGCAAAGCAGATTTGGAACCCAGACTTTGAGTTGAATGACCCGATTGCACTGCAAGCTGAACATAATGAGGCTGCTAAGCCCGCTAAAAGCATGCAATAACTAAGCAAAAGAAGGAGAAATGGATATCTAACTACTAATAACTGCTCTCCAACTATCACCTACCATTAACAACTGATCTTCATGAATATATTGACTATTCTTATATGACAAATCTATTTGTGATATATAGGTTTACAAGCACTATAGGTCTGTTCGAGTTAGCCTCCCTTTTGCAGGCCCTTCCATTCATTCTCACGCAATCGCCATCTTACACCAACTTCCTAGTTTTTCTCTGCAGCTATGCCACTGTCTGAACCGCCTGAACTGATGATAAAATGAAGATATCCATTTTATGACTTGAAGATCTATAACATATATGATTTTGGTAAATTAAACTAGGGTCCGATGACATATATCCTACGCCTATGGAAACTTGACTGATCTGTAAGGCGCGCTTAATTTCAACTTTTCCAACCCCCCTTGCAGTAAAATCCTGTTAACTGGGTGACGTTTCATGTGGTGCTCCGGGGGTTTTTGTGCAAGGCCAGCTGCTGTCATATACATATTTAGCTATGTCACCTGGCAGGTCTAGATATAACTCCCAAAATCTAACATACCTGTCTGTATAGTGGTCAGTTCAACCCTATCTAAGTGTGGTAGATACCCCATCTGACCCTTTGGTTCCCGGTAGTAACCTTCTGGCAAGGCATGTCGCCCTTAGCTCCGACCTTGCCATACCATTGGAATTTATCAATTGATGCGTTGATCAAGTCAGAAATATCTGCGTTTCCAACTTTAATCGCATGCCATGACCCCTCCAATCCCGTCTGGACACCGAATGCGCATGTACCAAACTGGACAAGTCTGTGTTGGGCGTATGGCTGAACAATCCATGTCCCACCGCCAGCAATATTGGAGACGATTTTAAGACAGTCGGTGACGAGGGGGGAAGACTCCGAAGTCTGGTTGTCAAAAGTTGATTCACTACAGTCGTTGGTCCCTCCTCGGGCAAAGATGTTTTCGGCTTTGCTGGCGGGGTTTGGAGTTAGAGAGGTATATGCAAAAGTGGTGGATGGTGTTACTGGTGCGGCTGGAGCAGCTAATGCTACAACAGCAAATGCTACAATAGCAAGCACAGAAAAGGCAATAGCAGCGTTCAATTTCATATTAAGTATCGTGTGGAAGTTCCCGGGGTTATAACAAGTGTCAAGGGAGAAACGGTATGACGGTGATCTTGTAGTTTTCAAACCTCAAGGGGACTCTAAGGGGATTTTATATCCTACCTTTTCTCCGGCATAGGTCAATGAATTAATCTCTCCTTATTCCAGATGTAAACATTCCTGCATACATGGTATTAGAATACGAATTGTCCAAAAATAATGGAAGCAAAGACACTAGTGATTTTGCAACTACCCACAGGCATAATGCAGGAGATGAAACCTGCATACCCTTCTAGATATATGGTGGAGAAATAGAGGGAGGTTATATTGCCATGCCAACTGTATATTTTCACCCGAGTCACGGTTTCAAACTCGTTTGCTCCTCACCCATGCGTTTGGGGCATCTTCTCCTAACTTACCCAACTTGAAAAAAGTATCAAATGAGTGACAAACGAGACCATAAGTGAAGGACAGCGTTTCAGGAGGTTCTAAAGCTGTTTTTGGCAATATGTTTCACGAGGTATACATTCCTAATCAGTGATAGCATATACGGTTCTCTTTAAGACTTTAACCAAGCCCACAACCTCCTATCCCCGGGTACTTGCATCTTTTTTCCTAGAGGACTACATCTATGCTCCTTGTTTGTGTAGACAGGTCCCCATGAATGTCTTCTAAAAGACAGCTAGCATGTTTCTCCATCTAACTAGCTGTCCGTACTGCCTATGGGTATGCCGGTTATGAAGGGTTTCCTCTCTTCCAATTATTGGGATAGACCTGGGTATTTAAGCTGCAAGAGGCATGATAACATCGCAGGCAGAGCCGTCGTGCTCATCTACCAAGGACACGATCTCGAACTCGGTTTCGTCGTCTTCAGCTTCCAAATCGCATAGGTCTTTGCCATCAATAAAGTTGAATTCAATATCGATATCGTCTTCCCTGATCTCAACCTCCTTATCACTCGTAAACTGCTTGTTAACGCCAAAAAGCGCCCCGTCGACATATTCTTTATGGTTCAGGCTTCGAATCCTATAGTAGCACTCCTGTAGACGGTATCCATAAACGAACGGCCTGGCAGGGACCAAAGCCAGCGCCCGTAGCTCCGATGCCGAAAATTTCGCGTGACCCCCTACAGCCCCAGTCCCCTGAGGCCCCGAGGCTTCACTCTCACCAGTAAGACTTGCGCTAAACGCATCCTTCCGATCCAGCTTTGCGCCTGGATACGCAGTCTTGATTCCAGTCACCATGTATAGCCTCTTTTTGAAAAACTGCTTCTTCAAAGCTGCTTTCACCCTCGGACGGTCCATGCTGGCCCTGACATAATCATCCGTGGGCTCGATGAACTCAACGTCCAGTGTTTCAATCTCGTTAAGAACATACGAGACCGCCGAGCTGGAGAAGCTGACACCAAGTTTGACGCTCACAGCCTGCAGAGCCCGCCCGAAGAGGCCGCCCTCCGACACCATTTCATTTTGATCCTGGAGGGAAAACTTGGTCGAGTTCGTGTATCGTTTCATCCCCTCGAAGTCTTCAAATGCGAGGGGCCCGGCTGGATCTACGGGACGCCCTGGATTCTCTGGCTGAACCACCAGCTGGCCGAGCTTGATCGGGCCATCCGGCGGAGGAGGGTTGTCAAAATTCGCAGGGACGAAATACGTCCGACGTTGTCCGGGGAGTGGCATATTGATTGATTCGTGCAGTCATTCCAGATGAACGAAGCTGCAGCTCCCGGCTGGCGAACCATGCTGCTCGCTTGTTAGTTAAATAGACAGGACTCAGCCTTGCTGACATACCAATTGTCGTAAAAGGGGGGTCTTTGGGCGCTTAACTGCATATCTCGAAAGTATCAGTTCCGTCACAGCGGCCAGTGTGCTGCTCTCTTACATGCCGCCCCTCCTTCGGCTTACTACCGCGACGGGGCTGTCGTCGTCTTCGTCGTATAGTTAATTAGCAAATGCAGTGTCTGCTATGGCTCCTCTACTTGTCCATAGAGGCCGAAGTGATACCCCAGGCCCATAAATTCACAATAATTGTTTCGGTGGAGGGAGTTGGCGTAACTTCTCGGGGCTGCTCTTACGGAGGAGCGGCCCAAAAATAAGAGATACGTCGGGATGGCTTCCACGGCAATGAAGACAGATTACTACACCCTGAGAAGGTCGGTCTGCCTTGCAATAAGATATCTCCAGCACACCTTCTCATACGGTTTTTTCTAGCACTGATAACGCAAACACTTGGTTCAGTTACTTTGAGAATTTCCGTCGTCCAATCGACTCCTATTCCCGGGGCATCGTTCGAAGGGGGACCCGGGCAAAAATAGCGATTCTCGACAGCGGCATCGACATATCCCATACAGGAATATCTGCAAAAGATAAAAAGAGAATCATTGACTGCAGGAGTTTTCTTCTGGATCGGTCTGTCGACGATGCAGGTGATTCGGATTCGCGTCGTCACGGCACCCAAATTGCTGTCCTGTTGCTGAAACGAGCACCCTTTGCGGATATCTACGTTGCAAGAGTAAAAGAGGACGATGGCTCCCCGTTGAATCCAGAGAGCGTTGCAAAAGTAGGGTTATCCCCTGAGTAGTTGCTCGCAATGGCAGCTTGCTAATGGAAATATATTATCAGGCTATTGAATATGCAGTCCATCCATGGGATGTGGACATAATATCTATGTCATGGGGGTTTGGCTCCGAGTATGATGTAGTTGCCAGTGCCATTCGCAAAGCGTCCGAGAAAAGGAAGATCATGCTCGTAGCTGCATCTAACGCTGGAGCAAACATACCAAAACCCATTTTTCCAGCTAACATGCCTGAAGTCATTTGCATCAATTCAACTGATGGGTACGGCAAGGTGTCGAACTTCAACCCTCCTCCTCGGAAAGACCATTATAATTTCTGCACCCTTGGCGAAGCAGTATTGGATGCATGGCAACCAAGCGAGTCGTCAGGCCTTCGAAATCGCGATACTGGCACATCGTTTGCCACTCCCCTGGCGGCTGCAATAGCGGCCTCCTTCATCGAGTTCTTTCGACAGGACAAATTTGGAAGACTCGAAATCGCCGACTCCTTGAAGCATGAAGCGAGGACACGAGAAGGGATGCTCAAAATATTTGTAGCTATCAGCGAGAACTTTCAGGGTTTTAACTACCTGCGGCCTTGGAGTCTGCTTGAGTGTAGGGGGGACTGTGAAGACAGATGCGTGGAAGCTCGAGAGTCTGCTGGCCGGAAGCTGTCTAGTATTCTGCTCGATGAAGTGCCATCGCCGGCAAATTGTGAAATGCTCACCAGTGCTCCCATATTAGCCCATGCGGTTGCTGCTGACGTGCGAGCCCTTGTTCATGAACGTGAACCTACCTGTCTTGCAGGCACTCGGGTTGAACTCTTCCGCCAAATCGAGGCCTGGGTAGATGGTACCCCTGAAAAATGTATTTTCTGGCTTAGTGGAAGACTGGGTACTGGAAAATCCACTATTTCTCGCACAATTGCTCTGCAATACTTCAAACAAGGGCAGCTTGGAGGCACCTTTTTCTTCTCAAAGAACGAAAAGGACCTCAGAACGCTGTCAAAGTTTGTAAGCTCCCTTGCTCATCAGCTCAGCGGTTTGTCCCCATCCTTGAGAGTAGCAATTTCAACGGAGAAGAGACACAACACTGAAGTAGAGCAATTAGCCATGGGAATTCAGTGGGAAAAGCTTATATGCAATCCACTTTCTCTGTTGAATCCGAGACATAGCCCTCTCATTATGGTTATTGATGCATTGGACGAATGCGAAGGCCTCAGCAAGCGACAAATCATGGGTATCATCAACCTGTTCGTTAGCGCTGCAGCGCTGCAAAACATCCGGCTACGCTTTCTCATAACCAGCAGACCGGAGAGTCATATCCAAGCCGCTTTCAAAGAATTATCTCAAAACGTCTATCATATTGAACTAGACAAACTTGATAAGTCTACTGTTGATCTAGATATTTCCCAGATGTTTCGTGGAGAGCTCGGAAATCTACATACAGAGAAACGTGGTGTCGAAGCCCACTGGCCCAGTGAGGAATATATATCCAGGCTCACTGAGAGAGCAAATGGTCTCTTCATTTATGCCGCGATAACTTGTCGGTATATTAAAAAGCCAGGGGCCACATCAATGAATGAGCGCCTAACCCGGATTTTTCAAAACCAAGCCTTTGATTTTCTGGATAATATGTACGATCACATCCTAAGCCAGGCAGTGACTGGCCCGGAAAAGGAAGTACTGGTGGAACAGTTTCAGATGATTCTTGGAACTATTGTGGCTCTATTTGAACCAATGCCAGAAACGAGTTTGTGTGAGTTGTGCCCGATAAGGCTGGAGCTTGAAGTCGTGTGTTCCAGGCTCGATTCTCTCCATTCGATTCTTGTGATACCCGAGTCGCCTAAGGAGCCGGTGCATATCTCTCACCAGTCCTTCCGCGAATTTCTCCTGAGAAAACGGGAAGGAAACCACAGGATCTGGATTAATGAGCAGATGCACCAGGATTTATTCACCTCCTGTATCCGACTGCTATCCAGCAGTTCACAATACGGACTCAGACGAGATCTTTGTAGCCTACACCACCCTGGTATTGAAATCAATCAAATAGATCGAACTAGAATAGATAAATATCTTTCTATTCACACTGCGTACGCAAGTCGATACTGGATATATCACCTCAAAGAACTGGACCCTCTCCAACGCCAGAATGTCGGTCTTTGTGACAACGGTCTAGTCCACAACTTCTTGCTAGACCATTTGCTTCATTGGCTTGAGGCCTTGAGCTTGCTTAGAGAAAGCTCTGAAGGGATGCGCACCGTTCAATTATTGAGTAGTATGATAAACGTAAGTTCCAGTTCCTTGACATGATGTATTACTCGCCAACTACTAATGGTATTGCGAAGGCCAATGTAAGCCCTCAGCTTTATGCTTTTGTCGAAGATGCAAAACGGTTTATTTGCTACAACCGTGCAATCATTGAACAGGCTCCTCTTCAAGTATATTGCTCTGCCCTAGTATTCGCACCGGAACAAAGCTTGCTCCGCAAACACTTTGCCAAAGATATGCCCAACTGGATTGTGAGATACCCAAAAGTACTACCAAAGTGGACATTACTTCGCCAAACATTGGGAAATCTTGCTGGTAAACCATCCCAGGCCCGCCACTTCATATCCCCGGCATTTTCCAAGGACGGCACGCTTATAACCTCAATTTCAGGGCCCGCAACAGAGGTGAAATCATTCCGCGTTTGGGACACAACCACAGGCGCACTGCTCAATACGATTGAATACCTCAAGGATGCAGACTTCTCACCGAGTGAAAAACTGGTGGTTTCAGTCCATTTTTCGAGCTCCGTTAAAATTTCTGACGCAGTAACCGGCACGGTGATCAGGGTGCTTGAAACCACAGGCCATGGAAATTCTGCCATTCATTCGGTTTCGTTTTCACCTGATGGCAAGCTAGTAATTGTCTGGGTAGCACAAATGTTAGTCCAGGTCTGGGATGTAGAGAGTGGGACTATATTGAAGACGCTTGAAAGATGCCACTGCCCTAATAATTTTGGTACGCCGCGCCATCTTGCCTTCTCTTCCGATAATAAGTTGATAGGGGCTTCCATCATGGGAGGCCACCCTGAAACATGGAGCATGACCTGCATTTGGAATGCAGAAGATGGTTCTGTTGTGTATCAGTTGAAAGGGTGCTATACATACACATTTTCGCCCGATAGTAAGTTGATAGCCCTCGTAATTGCAGGAGAAACGCGGATTCTGGACGCTAGGAAGCGTTCGGTTCTGTACACCATTGATGCTTGCACCAACGTGGCGTTTTCCCTAGATGGAAAGTTGGCACTAGCACAGGCCGAGCCAGACATCCTAGGAGCAACAAATATATCATTTAGGGTTGCAGCCACGGGAAAACCAACTGGTGTGACTATACATCTAAAAGGATCGTCGACACCAGATACAGAGCTTAGGCACATGGACGTTGATCACATGGTATTCTCTCCAGATGGCAAACTCCTGGCTACCTATAACTGGGCATGTTACTTGCGTCTTTGGGATGTGGCCTCGGGGAAACTGGTAGAGTTGTTCAAGAACAGCAATTCGGTTTCCTTTTCCCCTGACGGTACGGTGATGGCATCAGGATCACCCGACAATCTCATTAGGATATGGGATATGCCAACCCCAACATCAGCACATTTAATACCAATTCTAAATAAGGCCAAAGATTCAATAAAGCGGCTTTGGAGCGCGCCAGCACCGGAAGAAAAGATAGCGAGCGCCTATGGTGGTAATATCTTTGCTCTTGTGCTTTCGCCAGACGGCAAGCTAGCCGCATCAGGTGGCTACGGATTAGATGCTACAGGGGCTCCGGTCGTAATATGGGATGTGGCAAGGGGTGTTCCGTTGCAGCAATCGAAGTCAAACTACTCCATTGATAAGAATATTCTCTTTTGGCCAAGTGATAAGCGGCTGGTATCAGCGGATGCCTATGGCTGGTTGGTATCTTGGGACGCCACTTCACTCGAAGAACTTCCAATGATTCACAAATCTCATAGACTTGTTTTAAATATGGCGATCTCACCAAACGAGGGAATGGTGATAATGGCATTGGATGCATACCCACCTGAATTGATGCATGAGGAATATCACATATATGATTTCAACACTGGAAAACTCCTGCTAGAACTCAACGGCCATCATGCGAAGGTAGAGGCCCTTACTTTCTCACCAGACAGTAGGCTTATAGCCACCGGAAGTTCGCGCACAGTCAAAGTATGGAGCACGGATACTGGAGAGATGCTCCGGGAATATAAAACAATGGAAATATGCCAAGCCCTCGCCTTCTCGATGGACGGGCAAAGGTTGTTTATGGTGTCAGGCCCTCGACAGAAACAATACCTTCAAGAAGTAATAACAAGCACAACACTTTGTGAGCTTCCAGACTGCAATATTTGGCAATTGCTCCCAAACAGCGCCCGGAACGATGTTTTTTTCACCAATTGTGGACCACTGCAAATACCCACTCCCAATGATGCGACCTCTAATTCTGACATACACTCACTGTTTGTCACAAATAGCTGGATTATGTATGATGGATGCAATGTCCTCTGGGTTCCTCATGCGTATAGACCTAGTCGTCTCATTGTTAGAGACAACCTGGCCGTATTTGGATTGGCAGGTAAAGTTGAGATTATGGAAATCAACTTTAGCAGGATGCCTAGATCGACAGATTATCAGAGCAACGTGTGGCTCCCTGAACAAAACATTCCGTCAGTTGAATCGTATATATAGGCCAGTAAACGGGATATATCCTTGACAGGAGGCGTATCATACGTTTTTTATTGGTTGGATCTTAAAGGTCCGAATATTGTGAAGGCAATATCATTGGTGTTTCCATTTATAGAATGAGCTTTTATATCCAATCAAAACCTCAATTCTGCTTAGTAATATTTTTAACTTCCTTGTGAGTTCATTTTAGCATGGCCTATTAACTTTAACTAACTACTCCATCCATCTACTTAGGCGAATCTTTATGACTCCCAACATCAAATAATACAACTAGAGAAAAGTAACCCATTCTTTCTACCTTCGTCATAAGAAATGCCCCGCACATTTCTCGCTTTTCAGCACCATGCAAAGCTGGATACCCTTCAGACTCTCGTGACTGCCGTGCGCCCTTTCGCGGCACTCGAGGAAGCCAACCGTCAGCTCTTCAAGCAAGGCAGCGAAGAAGACCATGTGGTAGTTACGGAAAAAACTATCTTCCACCCTCAAGGCGGCGGCCAGCCTTCCGACATAGGCATGATCACTTCCCCTTCTGGCTCTTCTTTTACCGTTACCTCGGTTCGGATGGACGCCCTTCAAGACGGCCAGGTCCTGCACTTTGGACGTTTCGGTCCATCCACCTTTGCACCTGGTGAGACGGTGCAGCAGGAAATTGATGTGGAAAAGCGTTTTCTCTTCTCACGGCTGCACACTGCCGGCCATGTTTTGGGTGCTGCAGTTAAGCATCTTGTGGAAAAGGATGTGGACGGATTCGAAGAGCTGAAGGCATCACACTTCCCAGACTCGGCAGCTTGTGAGTTCCGGGGTCTTATTGAGGGAAAATGGAAGCCATCCATCCAGGATAAGGTCAATGAGTTTATTGCTGCGGCCATGCCGGTCGAGATAGAGTGGTGGGATGAAGATGATTTCCGCTCTAGAGGGTTGGAGAGACTGATACCGGATCCTACATTGGTGCCTCCAGGTGAAAAATCCAGGGTAGTCAACATTGTAGGGGCGGAGGTGTATCCTTGTGGTGGTACTCATGTCGATTCGACGGATCTCTGCGGACAAACGACTGTAAAGAAGATTTCTCGGAGCAAGGGCACGTCCCGAGTCAGCTATACCGTGGCTTGATAAATTGATACATTTCCAGAAAGTATTCAAAGATTAGATGGCTAGAATGTGACGTGTCTTGCTGTATATAGCGGATTTCCATATAAATCTTTAGTAGATCAAGTCCTTCAATGAATGGTACACCTCTGAGAGCTATTACTCTCACCAATAAGCCTGTCATAAGTTCAAAGTGTAGCATTTTTTTTTTTTTTTTTGCTGTTCGGCATTCTGTTGAGTTTCCACCATCTCATCTTCGCTGGTTGATTCCGATCTTCCGGTAACTAGATAAATTGCCTGCAGGTGGCCTACTAACTCGAATCATAACTATTTATAACTAATGGATTGGTTAATTTAATCAGTAGAATCGTACGGAACAGATATTAACAAGATGAATGGGGATTTTAACGAATTTAAATCATCGAGTATAAACTATATCTACTGCCACGAATGTACATTTTCATAGGCAAAGTGGTCCAGGCTCCTGGGTGGCCGGCCCGTTACCTCCTCCACTGTGTTATTCATGCGAGTTTCAAACCCATCAGCTGCTGTTACTTCCAAGTTTAATTGAACCGAGCAAGGTAGTTCGAGACACTCGCGTCCGTCAAACCCTTATAACGCTCATCTCCCGATAGCTTGACATGCTCGATACGTCGGCCTAGGTGAGCTGACAGCTTCTCAGCCACCTCATCGTAGGTAAGGAGCTCTGGTCCTAATATACGGTAGTCGCAGTTATGCGATTTAGGATCTGTGAGAGCTCGGAACACGACGGCCGCAATATCAATAGCGCTCACGAAGGGGATCTTCCCATCACCACAGGCTGTTTAGATCTTGCACTACTCGCGGATAAGAGGCCGGGAGCCTCATCAGTGAGGTTTTCTAGTTATAGGTTTAATTAGCGGGGACATCCCCCTAATATAATAAAATCTGTGTGATCTCGTTACCCATGAACCAACTAGGCCGAAGCACACAATGGTCGACGCCAGTGTCGAGAAAATGCTTCCAGACTACCCCCATACCGGGCCGTGATAAGTCGGTAGAGGTACCTGCTACTAGGACAAAGCGAGTAACGCCATGCACGTTGCGCGTATAGTCGATAAACTCGATCATAGGCTTCCAGGGCTCTGCAACCAGCGGCTCCATGAGATAGATAGCGGAGATGGGTTTACCGCCGAAGGGTGCTTGCCATGTTTCCTTGTCGAGCCAGTCGAATACAACGGCTAGCATGCCTAACTACTAGGGCTGCGGACGAGCCACGACCGGAGGCGAGGAGGAATAGTATAATTTGCATTCTGGAGGAAGCGAGCTAGGCGAGTAGAAGACTTGCCTGTTCCGCCGGTGAGAAGATAGCATGCGAATAAATGGCTAGTAGATAAAAACTTGGTCCAGCTGTGAGTGGGGATACACTACTGCAATTTGCAACCGTTTGGTCAGGCTGCGAGAGCGCTCTTTATGTTCCAATTGTTGGTAGTCAAGGCGGGCTTGAGCTAAATCCGAGTCTTACGCTGGGTCGACAACATTGAACATCCTACATTAAGTTAACTTATTGTGACTAAAGATTAACGTCATTGATTAACTGCCACGTAGTGCATGGTTGTTCGTCGCCCGAAAGCCGAGCCTGGAGGAGCCTGGGGAAGCTCCCGGAACCCGAACATGCATCGTCTCCTGGGTTTCTACTTCAACATGTTGTCCGGTCCAATGTCAAAAGAGTAGAATGGCCTCCAAAACAAAGCGACGAGCTTCAGCCTTCGTCTCCTGATAGAACTACCTCGATAAAAAGGGGGAGATGGGGAGTTTGCCAAAATCCCCTGCTAGAAAAGCGATGGCTATAGTTAGCTAACTAAATAGAAAACAAGATCGATTCCGTAATGTTCGTCTAACTAAATTTATTGTCCCGATGCCTTCTTGCAAGCATTCACTGCATCGTCATAAGTGGAAAGCTCTGTGACCTTCTTCAGCGTTCCACCGTAATATTCACAATCAGCAGCAAAGCCATTATCCTGAGCGATACAGTATACATCCTTGTCCCCTTGGACTATCACCTCCGTACACAATTCCGAGACTTTGGCTAAACGGTACTGATCTTCAAGATTCGTACAACCCGAACAGGTGAACTCTTTTTCATTCTTTCCATTGTCATTCGAGCAGACAAATTTTCCCGAAGCTATGCCAAACTCGCCGCCACCGCAACGGGCTTCGCAATCGCGGTTGGAGGTACAGGTCTCACCCTTGTTGAGCTGTTGAGCAGATGCGCAGGCTACCAGCAGAGCGGCAATTATCACTTGAGAGAAATGCATTGTTGGGCGGTGACAAGAACCTTGTGCAGGGCGATGGTGGTAGTATCTAGTTGCTGTCAGAGACATTTGAACTTATACCAACAAAATGCTATCAGGTCTTCTTACCGGAAAGAAGTTGGATGGAGGGTGAGCACAGAGTAGCGAGCAAGGAGGTTTTTGGCTGTTCTGGCAAAAAGATCAGTTGACAAAGGGGGTGATTGAAGGCAGTTAGACAGCTATCCAACAGGGGACAAATGGCAAGATTGATGGAAGACTCAATTTTGAGGTCGAAGATCTCATCGTACGATATTTCTTTTAACTGGGGAAGATACAAATGATCGAAATCCAAGGCTTGAGCACCGCCTCTAGTTATTGCTTTTGGAGATTTAGTTATGTTAGCTTAGGATCGGCGCAGTCCCCAGCCTACCATTTTAAGTGATGTGAGCCGCTTTACTCGGAAATGATGTTTATCAGAAGAGCTGGCTGGCAAGGTGAGGTGGTGCTGGCTCAGCAGGGGGGAGCTGTTGGAATTGTCGCGGGCCAACGAGCCATAGAAACGGCCGAATCGGCAATGTTTGCCAACAAACACCAAGGCACCATCGATCGACATGCAGGAAGCAAACCTAATACATCGCGCATGGCGCATTGCCACGATGTTCATTCGAGCCAGCCAAACTCGCCGCAACAGCTTGTCATTACCGTGAAAACAGCCAAAAGAACAAGCGCACACTCGTGGTCCACAGGTTGACAGCAACACATGCTCCGTGTTATACCTCCTACATGCTGCATTTGATTGAAACCAATGCAGTCAGAAAGTTCGAAGTCAACTTGTCGCGAAAGAAACGGGAGGTGTAAGCATGTGTGCAAGCCAAGATACCAAGAGAAGGGCCTGGATCGCTCCCAACGTCCCAGCTGTCGTACGGCGCTATTCAGCAGAGAACGTACTTCTGGGGAAGGGCAAAAGACCTAGAGCAAGGAATGACGAAAAGTCTCAGGGTACACCGCTCAAGGGCCGGCAGAGAGCCAACTTGTGAGAGTCTGCGTTAGGCAATAGTCCGGCCAAACAAGGGAGCTCATGCCTGTGACTTGCCGCCCTCTCCTTGAATCGAAAGCGCGGCAGGGGAGGAGAGGGTTCAAAGAATGGTCATTGCATTTCAGCCAAGTGGAGTTGATGCGCTGTGCCCAGGTATCTCTCAAAGCGGGACCTGAGCCGCTCAAGAGTCCGGAGTAATCTTGGTGGCAGCAGTGGACAGCCAACCAGAACACGGCGTTTGGTATAACATGCATACAGGATCGTGGGAAATCAGATATAGGCTCGCTTGTAGGTATCACGGTTCCTGCAAATCACAATACATTGGTTAACGTTGGCGTATCAACACTGATTAGCCTGCGAAACGTCCTCCGTACGGAGATTCGTAAGGCTTTTAGCTGCTGTCACCACATAGTACCACAGATACTAAACAAGGAAACATGGAGGTCCCCGTATCCCGTGTCATGCGAGCCAACGCCTCCTGCTGTGTGTGTCGTTTCAAGGTGATGTTGGAGTCACCCCTGGCAATAATAGTACCAACTTACCTCCCTGTATATTATACGGAGTAGGAAGGTGTCAGTTTTTGCATTAGTTACTTCATTTCACCTTGCTTGGCTTATCAAGCCTCGTACATTTGATAGAGCTCAATATCATCCTCCTTACAGAAGGTTAGCGTCTCTGGAGCTAAAAAAAAAAAATAAAATAAAATAAGGTTTTAGCTATATTTTAGCTATGAATCACGTGATAAACTCGTTTTGAATCTCTAACTATTTAGCTCCACTCTATTTGAGCCTCATCATGTGATATCCCGAGACCCCCGACCCGTTTTCTTCCATCACGCCCAAGTTTGAAATAATAACAAGGCAAAGGTGTCGAGTACCGGGAGGAATGGATAGATGATGGCGACCGGGAAGTTCAGCGACTGCACTATGGCGTAGTAAACTATTGAGTGCCGAGTGCCACCCGCCAATAGGTGCCTAAGCGGTCGGGCACCGAAGATAGTGGCGGTGCCTCAGTATGCGGGTAACATGTTCCAGGTCATGCCTGATTACAGAGTTCATAGCTGATTGACTAGGTACTCCGTACTCCTGGACCTCACCAAATTCCCCGATGCGGTTTAGCGTTCCTGATCGGGGAAGGCGTCTCCTACTAGCGTGTAATGATATAGATGGCTGTCCTCGCCGCTCTAACCTCCTCCTGCTCAGCCTTGCACTGCCACGCTTGGCACTTGATGTGCCTGACTCCTCTTCCTTCTATCTACCAATTATACTGTGTATCTTTGACACGTTCACTACGCCGGAAGTATGTTGCAGAAATTTAATGCCGCATTTGCGGCGTTGTCCACGCTCTTCTCCTATTCGCTGAAATATACTAGAGCCATGCACTATAAGCCAAAATTGGAGAAATTTAATGCCACATCTACGGCATTGTGTTTCTGCACTCTTTGCCTGCAGCCTGCTTACTTAAGGTGGATATTGAAATGCGTGACGCTGTACAGAGAAAAGAAATGAAGAAGGGCACGCGACGGTAGTATAGAGCACGAAAGAACTCGATGCTGAATGAACGGAGGTCTTGGTAATACTTTCCGTTCCAGTCATAGTGAACGACTGACCCCCGGCGTGGACGGGACCTCGGAGGTCCACTCGCTCATCATTCATCCAGCCAATTACGCGCTGGCTTGGCATCAGGCCTTTTTGTCCAGTTGAAGCAGCGGTTTAGGCTCTGATAGAAACTGTACACACCAGCTGAACACAAAGGCCCAATGCTCAGCCAGTGATTGACTATATCTGGATATCAGCGACAGGCGGAGCCTACTATATAGTTAATGGTACAGAATAACTAGTTTGCAACAAATATTGTCCGGGTGTCCCTCGTAGTTACAGTATATGAATTTAACGGCGCGAGCCCCGGGTAATTCACTAGCGAGATATTTACAAATGGAAATAAAGGACTTGCTCATTTATACAAAAATAGTAAAGTAGAAGATGGAGATGGGGCGGACTCCGCAGTTAATAAGGATGGGGCAGACTGGTAAAGAGAGGTCGTCTAACTCATGCACAAATGCGTTCTCCAAGCAGCAGTCCAAGAAAGGACCATGAAAGGAGTACCTATGCCATGAACACCAAAGGAGGCTGTAAATCACCCGTTGTACAGTTTCTTGTACCGTTCATTGATTGCTTCAAGAGAGGATACGGACGGTGTTCCCCATTAGAGCTCCCATGGTCGGTTTCTCGGGGCTGGCAACTGAGAATTCTGCGATCTAGAACAGCTCGCCAGGCACGTCTTCTCTAGTGGTGGACTACCCTGGGTATAATCGACTTGGCTTTGACTTGTTGAAGACAATTGCACATAGACCACTTTAATATGCCTCTGGAGGTTATAGATAGTTTTAAAGCTTCGAGGGCACTGATTGCATGTATGTATCCGCTTGCCGTGGGCCCTTTTAATATGACTCTAGAGATTACAAATAATAGTAAAGCTTTAAGGGCACTAATTATATATATATATATCCGCTTAGTATAGACCCTTCTAATATAGTACCGGAGATATTTCTTAGAGGTGAAGCTTTTAAAGCACCGATTGCATGTGTATATCCGCTCGCCATAGTATTTGGAAATATGTAGTTCTATATTTGGTGGAGTATTCAGTGGTACCTCCCAGGTTATTTGTCTATACCACTCTTTAGTAATACCAAATCACAAAGTCATACACCTAGATTTCTCAGAAAAGAGGGAAATAGCTATCAGAATGCCTTAGTACAGATTTGGAAGAAGGTCACAAGGATATCCTCCTTTGTTTTAAGATCTTTACAGTATATCACACTGAACTGGGACCAGAATTGACGCATATCGCCTTCTAGCTGGGGTGTCCACTTTTTTGCAATCTGTGAGATATCTTCTGCCGGAATATTCCAACCCGAATCTGACATCACATTGAAGAACAGCGCTTCTATACCCCTGGGGATTTGATCTAGTAACGCAAGGCGCTCCCATGAGATAGCCACCTTTAGCTCATCTGCGGGATGAAGCTTCCTCACAGTAAGTATCCTCGTACAGGTGTTAGCAGATATTACTACCATGGTGATATACCTCCACCTACAGGATAGCTTGTTCATCCTCAGTTGCTCTAGGAAGCATAATACTGCTATTGAAGGTTAGCATAATGGCACTGTGTATCCAGAATCTGAGGCACATACGCTGGGAACCGAATTACAGTGGCAGACCCTGGTGTCAACACCTTGAGTATATCATGTATAGGAACCACTCTCTCCCATGGGAGCTTTTCTGGCATTCCGTCAATATACGAGAACACCGTTAAAGTGGGACCCGGTGAAATCTCTGGTTGTATATCCCCTAAAAACATCCATTCAAAAGTGACTTTCCCTGAAAAATGTTCGCCGAGTGATTGCGTGCTGTAATCGGGAAGTAGCCGATAAAAAGAACATAGCGAGGGATCCAGGCTATACATTGTTTGGCGATCAAATGGAGGATATATTTAGTAAAAGGGGATAGGAGCTGAGGTATAGATTTGGGGTATTGCTCCTCTTATATCATAGCCAGCAGCATGCATAGTATATGGGGCAGGTGACTTCTACTAGAGTGTACGGCATGCATTGCCTTCTGGGCTAGGAATATCTGGACTAAGACTGACCACAGAGTCAACCTTTTACCTGAAAGCTTGGTACCAATGCTAAAGATTCATATTAAGCAGTTTGGAACCATTGAGCTGTGTAAGGACCTCGATGCACTTTTATTTAACCTTAACTAGACCGTCATATTCACCTCAACGGCAAGTTGAGTGGCAGGGCCCTGGTATTGTAACCGTTCGTTTACTAGAAAGCCATTTCGTCGATGTTATATAAATTCGCGAACTTTTACAACTTGACAATCGTGGTAAAGTACATTTCCATATTAAAGAAGATACATAGAGAACGCACACCAAGATATAAATATGGGTCCTAGCGCCATTGGCCAGCCGCGCAGAAATCATGCAGAGGACATAACTAACTATAACAAAACAAAAGATCTATCCGTGTATTATAAGCGGTTCCAGAACTCGGATGCGCTTGGCGCCTCACACACGCTGAATGCACCAGTTGGCATTTTCACGCTTGGTAGATGTTGCTTATGAATCAACTGTTCCTTGTGTATTCATATACACTTGCGGTGCGTACTCTGGGCTTAAGTTCCGGGGATTCCATGCCGTGTGGTAGGGATGGCCCAGAGTAAATTTCTGGTCCATACCGTCGAGGGATTTCATTGAATTGTAGAATTCTAGGTGTCCTAGATAAGTTGGTTCCGCGCTAGGAAGCCACCAAGGAATACCGGCGGTTCCCACACTAGGAGGAGAGGACTCGACGCCCATACATGGTAGAAAGTGAGAAGACCGTTGATCCTCAATACCACGGTATTCGCCACTGGATGGTTGAGCGTGACTGACCGATGTCCCTTCAATGCTGCTCGAGATAGACGGTGGTGGTGTTCGATACCCTGTATTCCAGGCTTCAATATCCCTTTCCTGTTTGCTGCTGGAGTGGGTAGCAAAGCTTGGTTGAGTGTGGCTGACCGGCATCCCTTCAATACTGCTGATAATAGACGATGGTAGCATTTGGGGCACTATATCATGAGCTCCATTCTCCCTCTTCCAGTTGCGTCCAGTTAGATGATAGGTTGGATCATGAGCAGTGCCTGTAGCGCCGACTATCTCATACGGGTCTTCATCGGTCGTTGTATATCTATCAAGTACATAAACCACAGCAGTTGCATCTACAGTCGTGTTAGTCCCTGAATAAGCTTAGGAAAAAAGATCTAGGCCTACCTGCTTCCCCTCTCTCATAACTCGCTTCTCCTCTTCGGACCTTGTAGATTTCATCTAGAATGTCAAGTCTCTTAAGCTGCCGGAAAGCTCTGAAGGAAGATTCGTAATAGGCCTCAAGCTTCTCCTTATTTCCTATCTCAAGTGGTACCATCTCCACGGCTTCTATATCGTTGACTGGCTTCTCTGGCCCTATGGGAGCATGGGGCATGATCCCTCGGCGACACTTCTTTGGCATAGGAGAAGGTAAAGTGGCTCCTATAGATGAATGCACTGCTTGCTCGTAGCTCAAGTTTCCTAGTATCCCATATTAGTAGATGGTGTAATATATAAAGGGGAAACCCATACCAGCGAAGAGAGGTGAATTGGTAGTGTTAATTCCTGTTATTTGCTCGAGCCAATTGCCAAATTTAGTGGTGAATATTGGGGCTTCATACTCTGGGAAACATTTGCGAACTTCAAGTAGCCAATTTTCAATATCTGAGGGGAGATGGCGCGGAGGTGGTTTCTGACAAGCGTACTGGCCGCCTGCCCCAGGAAAGGTAGATACTCCTCCAAAATCAGCCATTATAAAGGACAGAATATAGTAGGAAGTGAGAAAACTAGTTATCAAGAAGAGGAGGTACGGTTAACCTGGGAAAGTGAGAGTGTTATATAGACTTAATTTAGAGTATTACTATCCCTGCTTTTGCCAGACCCGGAATGGATAGAATTGATCCTGGGCAACGATGGGGAGTCTGTGTCTAGACAAAACAAGGAGAAGATCCATCAGAAGATTGGATTAAACGTCATGCCTTCTACTCGTACGCCTGCCTGTATGCATAACTAGCCGTTGTTTTGAAAAAAGCCAGGGTATACAAAAGACAAATGGTACTAGGTAGGTAAGCGCCAAATCACGTGGTGGTATTCCAACTATTGGTTATTCGCGCCTACTATTGGACAACAACGGTAGAGAATTTGCAATCGACCCCCGGCAGAGAAGGAACAAGAGCAGAAAAACACCAGTAACGTAACTAGTAAATAAGTCGTCCAGCCCGCCCTACGCCACATAGACCCACCCCAGCGCTTATATACCCTGCCCCAAGGGCCACTGCACTCGTACTTCATCCCATACGCAGAGAGGTCTCGAATATACCTCTCCCACTTCTCCTTGTGCTGTGGTGCAAGCTGCGCGAACACCGTGAGGATAGTAAAAGCCTGATGAAGGAAACTCTTCATAATGTCACGTGTATGTGGAATGTCAGCCTCAAGTAGCGTCAAGTACCGCTTGATTCCCGCCTCCCACACTTCTTCCTGTAGCTGAAGGTCTTGCGCCCGACATATCAGGCCGTCTGGGGCCTCCGGGTGCTGTGAATAAGAAACGATATCAAGACACCACGCAATGAGTGTGTGGTGTGCAGAGGCTACATCTTCCCAGTATACTGGCGTCCTGTCACTCCTGTCCCTTTTGGAAAGCGACATGCACCACTCTTCTGCTTGATGGAGTTGCCCAACCAGGTAATTGAACTCCGTTTCAAACTCTTCTTCCGAGAAGCGTATGCCCCCTACCTCGCTAGTGATACCACTGATAGGCTGAGAGAGATCTTGTTTGGCGTTTTTGCGATATTTGTAAACGGTCCAGTCAAATACTCCATTGAGTAAAAACCTTTTCTCCTCAAATGCAGTATAGAAGAGTTGCCGGAGGTAGTCGTAGTTAGGCTTATCGTCATCGACAGGATCGCTCAAATACCGGAAGTACTCCGCAAACCCACGTGGTAGACCTTCACAGAGAGCTTCTATCGGAGCTGCCATCATATACCGATGGATATCATCGTATTTGGAATCCCTAAGGCTGACCTCCAGCCCCCTCCATGGGGCAACTCTGCGACACATATAGATTAACATATAACCAAGCGACTCCAGGTTGGTATACCTGGGCTTAGCACCCAAGAAATCTGCAGTTGCCGCTATTTCGCCTGCTCCTGTAAGCGTTATCTGATTCGAGGCCTTCCCTGTACCCAAGGCAAATGCGCTCGGCCGGATCCCCAAGTGAAAAAGGGATTGAGAGTGTATAAGTTCGAGAAGGCCAATAAGCTGATCGGCGAGGAGTAGGACAGTCTTGACTGAGAACGACTCACACCACCCCAATAATGCTTCCAAAGTGGGACCATCCCGCTGACGCACCAGGAACCTGCAGCCGTCCTGGATGCCATGGCTTTCGACTAGTGGAACACCAACACCCCCGGCGAGGGAGTAATAATTCTTGATCTCCCGCTCAAGGGACGGCGCTTCTGCGTCACAGCTCTCTAGCATGATCATCATTTCTCCGTCCTCGCCCAATAGGGCCGGCCCATCGCCCAGCTGGAACCGACGCCTGCCAACGTAGGTGCCGTCTCCAAGCCGCTTTTGGAGTTCATACTGGCCATCGATTAAGCTCTAAACCCAAGTTAGACGACTCCATATAGAACTGGCGGGTAGACATACAGATGGGAGAGCCATTGCACTTTAAGGACCAGGTTGCGGTTAATTTGTGGAATTTGGGGCTGACTAGTTAACGTTTGTATAAAAGATTGCTTGAATTCCTTGAGAGAGTGAATGGAGGATAGAGATCCATTGAGCTTCTTTATATGCTGTGTTCCTACTTTCATAATAACGAAAGTGATATCTCAAAAATGGTACAAGTCATATACCCAGTATATCGAATTCAACTAGATATGCACCAAGAAATAAAAAATAATAGAAACAGAAAGAATAACGTAATTAGTTAACGCGAGATAAAGTTTTCTTCTTCTCAGTTGAAGCTCCACCCGCTGTAGCTCTCCCTAGCCTTAGCCCTTGGCGGCTGTCGGGGTCCGCTCTCCTCCATTGTTAGGTAGTGTTCGAATGTTTTCCGTTCCTGCCGCGGGATGGCTTTTACCGCTCGGCTCCCTGACATCGTGAGTAGTCGCGTAAGCTCGGGAAAATCACCTTGACAGGTATATTCGGAACTACTTCAGCCCAGACCAGGCACCTTCCTCCAGCATGTTCGATGCCTTGGTACGTCTCAACCCTCTCGACAGTTTCAGGGTCATCTATAGTCTTCCGACCGTCCCTAATCTGGGCAAGTCAGCAACACGTTGAAGTAGAATAAGTAGAAGAAATAGAAGCATAGCTGGCATACCCGTAAGTCCCATTATGGTTGAGGGCTTTAGAGTCCAGGGGAAGGTTTTTCTTAGCCGACCCCGCTTCCCACAGCATCCACTCCAACTCTAAGAGTGGGCTGTAAACAATCCGCTCTTCGCCGGTAACGGTCCGAACCTTGATCAGGGCGCCTTTGTCCCAAACGTTGAGAACTTGAACGACATGTGTCACATCGCGCGCGGCGATATAATCGCCGTCCGGTCTGTGATGCTTAGCTCACGCACAGTGCACCAGACGGGGGATGCAAGGACCTACCCGGGTAGCGGAAGGGCAGGCTGCTTCAGCCTCTCACCCTAGCACTGTGCCCAAACACTGTGCTATCCAGGAGAATATCATGCTGTGGAGATTGTCGGGAAAGTGCGAACTATCAGGCTAAAATGGAGTATACAAGGCGAAGGCAGAAAGGCGTCCATGCCCAAGGGACGGTGAGCTGTCTTATAGACAAACTTCGCTCAATATACATATAAACCACCCTTGCTGAACGCAAGTGTGAGAGGCCTGGAACATGAAGTAGGCGCATCCTTTTCTAGGCTAATCTATCACATAAAGTTTAAAAAAAGAAGTGTTGCGATCGCAACTACGGCGGACTAAATGAATCATCGGGTCAAAATTCGTTTTTAATACTATCTTATATATAAACACGCAGTTATTTTGATTTTTCTTATATAATATAATAATATAATTAGAATAAATACTTTTTATTAATTAATAGAATAGAATTTTTATTATCTAAATATATAGTTCTAATTTATTAATTTATTATCTACTATACTATAAATATAAAAAAATATTTAATTTAATATAGTAATTTATATTATAATTTATAACTATATATAGTACTATTACTATTAATATAGTAGATTATCTACTAAAAGATCTTCTTCTATATAAAAATAATATACTATATTATATCTCTTAAAAGAAGTTTTATTAAAATATTTATAACTATCTTTATAGAGCTTATTTAGTTAATATTTTATTATTAACTCTTAAAAGATAGTTAAAAAAATAGAATTACTATATATAAAATAAAGCTATTAATTTACTAGAACTTTAAATATAAATTATTAAACTATTTTTTAAATTTTATTTATTAAATTAGGATATTATAAATATTTTATAAAAAGAAGAATATATAATTACTTAATATACTCTTAAGTAGATATAATATAAAATAAAACTACTATAAAAAGTATTTTTAAATAATAGAGAATAAAATAAATAAGAGCTTTTAAAGATAGTATAATAAAAATTTAATAATAGAAATATTAAAAAGTATAATTATAGAAATTTATATATATATTTTAAAAGAAATATATATAATTTTACTTAATATATTTATTAATCTAATATTTTATTAAATTAATATTAATAAATATAGTAATTAAATTTTTAAAATTATTTATACTCTTAATTAAAAAAATATTACTTATTATTAAAATAACCTCTAATACTATTATAGAGAGTATATTATTTCTAATTTAAATTATATCTAATTTTTAAATAGTTACTATAAGCTCTAATACTAAAGATTTAAGATTTATACTATTTTTAATATATATTTTTAATTTATTATCTAAATTTATATAAATATAACTAACTATATAGCTATTAGTATCTTATATTAATATATAGATATACTTTAAAATAAAAATATATTTCTAGAAATTTTTTATATTAATTATAGAATAGAGATAATTCTACTTACTTCTATATAATATAGACTTTAATAGAAAGTAGAACCTATTATTATTTTTTAAAATTATTACTAATTTAGAATAAATATTATAAATTAATAAATTAAATTTTAATAAAATTAATTAATAAAGTTTTTATTATTTTATTAAAAAATATATTCTTTTATTTCTTCTTTATTTAAATTTATTATTAATTATATATAAGATTATTTTATTTAACTTTTAGAAAATAATTTTTTTAAATTAAATAATTTTAAAAATTAATTTATAATATTTATAATCTATATACTAATTCTTTATAAAAATATATATAATTTTATAAATTTATAGAATTTTTATAAAATTTATATATAGTAAAATTAACTAAATTATATTTCTAGTTAACTATAGATATTATATAATTATTTAAAAGAATTTATATTAAATTATAGTATTATTTTAGATAAAGCTATTCTTTTTAAAATTAAGAGAAATATATAGAAATAAAGTATATAATATTCTCTAATTATTATATTAATTATAATATTTATTAATATATTAGTTATATATTATAAATATAGATAAATATTTTCTACTAGTAATAAAATAGTAGTTTTTATAGTAGTTATAATAACTAAACTATTTTAATAAATAAGTTAATATAAAGAATATTTTTTTTAATAAATTATAAATTTATTATAATATTTATATTTAATTATATAAAATTATATATTAATATATTTCTATTAATTAATTATCTCTCTTTATAGAATATAAGAAGTTTTTTAATAAAATATAGAGTTTATAATCTATAAATTTAAATTTTTAAAAGATTAGAACTATAAATCTAGATATAAATAAAATAATATTTAAAAATTTAGAAATATTTAAGAATATTAAGTAGAAAATATAAATAAATATTACTTTTATTTATATTTAAACTTTATATAGTTTATAAGTATATTAACTACTTCTTTCTACTTCTACTTCTCTTATTTCTACTCCTTCTACTTCTACTCTTTCTACTACTACTCTTTCTACTCTCCTTTCTCTCCCTCCTCTCTCTTAAATTTTAAAAATTTCTCTAGATATTTAATAAAGCTATCTTTAGGCTACCTATTATTAAAT